GGAGTGAGGGTGTCTTTTTGAGGTGCATTTGCCCCTCAGGAGAATTTTAAACCTAGTTCTTCGAGATTTTTAGAAGGCTTGTAATGCCGTTGGATTCAGACAGGGCTGTGGAAGGGGAGCAGTATCTGCACATTTGGAGTTTGCTTGGGTTATTGTGTTAAGCTGCTCATTGTATTGAGTAGGTCTCATTAAAAAACCTTCTCTGTCCATCTCTACTGCTGGAATTTTGTTTTCTAAGCTCAGTATCCAGGAAAAAAAAAAAAAAAGGCTGATCTTGTATGGTCTTGTATGGCAGTTGCTGATCGTCTTCTACTGCCATGTCTACTTGTAGCTCCCAGCCATGCTCTTCCTTTGGGCCTCTGCTTCAGTTATCTTGCTTTTGTAGAACATTTGAATTAATGACATTCAAACCCCTTACAAACATCAGGAAATGGGAAGATAGGAAGGCTCCAGTATTTTTGCCTGAAAAACAAAGGTTTTTACTTGCAAATTAGCTTTGTGTTTTCTTTTACTATGTGCTTTTGGCAACCACATTCAAATAGCACTTAGGCAAACAGTGACTCTGGAGGAAGTTCTGTATTGATGCTTTAAGTCTGTCACTTTCCTGCATTTGAGATCTTGAGAACTTGACATTGGGAGAATCTCCGTCTTGTTTCTGGGGCCTTCTGGGTTTCTTCTGTGTTTCTCAGCCCTGCTGCTGGGCGTTTTGTACCATCTGTGCATGCAGGGTGTGATGGGGACATTGCCGCTCTTTTATTCAGGTCACTGCAGCTTCCTCCTTGCAGATTCTGATGCAGTCTGTGGTAGCTACAGTCTCTTTTTCTCCTGGTATTTTCCTGTATTTGTGGGAATCTTGTTAGATCTGTATTATATGCTTCCTTGAGGTACAACATTTCCTTCCTCTGTGGTTTAATTTATCATCTGAAACAGGCTAAGACTGACAGGTCTACCTTAAATTGTTCACTCTAAATTTAGCAGCTAGAGACAGAGTGATCAGGAAGGGCTAAATTAATATTATGTCAAAAGAGCCTTGGGACAAGGAAAGGAAAAAAGCCAATTTGGAACAGAGGGTCCCCTTTCAAGTCTCTTGGTTTAAAACAGAATTTGGAGAAAAGTTTTTTTTTCTTTATTTCCAAAGAAGTTTTAAATGAGTCTTTTAGGTAACTAGACAATAGTGTGTTTCATTATCATTTTTGATTTAACCGACTGTTGCTTTGAATAACTGGCTGAGGGTTGAAGTGGCACTATGCTAAATACTATATGCTAAATGTTTTGCAGAACCTATCTTCTTGCTACTGCTTTTTTATGACTGTTTAGAAGTGTTCTCCATATGATCTGTTTTGTGCTTATTTTCATGGAGTAAAAACTGCCTGGGAACTCTGCCCAAGTTTTTTCTACTTGCTTTTTACAATGAGGCCATCAATGGCAACGAAAGCAATTCCAGATTAGTTATAATGTTTCTGTGGGCAGCTTTCTTGTGTTATATGAATCTAGACTCAAGGCACAGAGATGTTAAATTCAGTTAGTTGTTTTTATGGTAAAGTTTTTGGATCTTATGTTGAGGAAATACTCCAAAAGTAAAAAATATATATAAAAAAAAAGGAATGAATATTCCTTAGTTGGGCAGCTTTTTCTCCTTGAAAATTTTACTACTCCTGTTTAAAGTTGTCTAAGTTTTAAAAAGAATAAAAATAAAAAGGGGGCTCTAGGATGTTTTTTCAAGGAGCAGGAGTGTCATTTTTTTACGATTACCTTTCATCTTTCTGCAGCACCTCTCACTTTAAGTGAAGTGTACTATTTTCTATGGCTCCACCAACTTCATAATGTGGGTAAGGCATTTAAGCAGAAAATAAAAATAAATAAAATCCAACCCTGAAGCTGCACTGTGGAACTTGTGGGCTCCTTTTAGGCGTCCTGTTTGTGTTTCTCGATTCCCCCAGTTCCCAGATGTGCCGTGACTCATGCCCTGAACAATGGGAACATCATCTCTTATTCCTCCTCTTGGTCCCACTTGGCAAAAGGGTTACTCAGAGGATATGTACTGCAGAGGGAGAAGAGATTAACAGCGCAGGAATGAATCATCTGAGCGTTGGTCCTAACTCTTGTGTGGTGAGCAAGAAGTTAAGGAAGACTTAGGGTCCACACTGTGCTCCTGTGTACTAAAAAGGAGCATTTGAATTATGTAAAATTCTTAACATGGAGGTTACTCTTTTGTAGCCCTGTCCCAGACAGTACAGGGCACGGATGGAAGGCAGCGTTTTGACAGCTTGATTTATACACGAGGAAAAAATAGCTAGCTGGCTTGTATCAACAGCAGAATAGATAGTGGTCATCCTGCTTGTGATTTGTTGATATGACTTGAATGTAAAATGTTCCAGTACAGCATCAGTGTTTAAAGAAAAAAAATAGAAGGAAGTAGTGTTATATGAGTGAAATACAGGAAGAATCCTCCCTAAATCCAAAGTGCCGGAGGACAGACAGACTTCTGTGGGTATGGTTGATCTGAGGAAGTTCCTTGAGCTGTGAGGGCTTTCCTTGATACCCTCCCGCAAAAGATTGGTGGATCTGGCTTGGGCTTTAGGGGTTTTTTGTTGTCCTTGAGTCATGCTAAGCAAATGCACCATTTTTATCATCTTTAGGTGTGTAAATATTTTCATCTCATCTATTAAATAGTTAAGTGTGAATTGCCACTCTACATGAAGATATTAAAAATATGTGAATCAATTGCAAAAGTTAACTCTTATGTTTGCTGTCACTTTTATAGCAAGTCATGCTGGTAAGCCAGAAGTAACTAGCTAAAATCTGGAACACGAGCACATTTGAATTGCTAAGCCAGCTGTTGAATGCAATTTAAATGGCTGGATGACTTTGGAGAAACGCAAAAAATTTGAGTTGAGAAAGCCAAAAAAGCTTATTTTGCTCACTGTCTTGAAGAGAAAAAAAAAAAGTTTAACATATGAGTGGCAGCTGATACTTTCAGATTTTAATATTGTTTTGCCTTAAATGGAGAATTCTGAGAGACTGTTTGTATCTGTGTTTGTGGAAAATATGTATATGCACACCCTATGCATGTGAGGTAGCTCTACAGAAGCTTAATGCATAATCCATAAAACTTCTTCCTGAGTTGTGGGAATTCCAACATATATGCAAGTGCAATTTTGGAATGCATCTAAATCTAAGTTTTAAAACTAATTAATATTTCTATCAATTTCCTATAATTTAAAAGAAAGAAAAAGTGTATGTTTAATGAATATTTGGCTAATGCAGTTCTAAATAAAAAAGAAGATACTGATGCAAAATATTCCTAACACCTGCAGTCTCCTTTGCTTCTGCATTTCAATAAATTAGGTGGTGTTGACCAACACTTTAGTATTGGCAGCAGTTACTACTTCATGTCTATATTATCCTATCTATCTGGAGGTTGCAGGTTTTGTTTTGACTGGAAGGAAATATTTTGACCTCAGTACTGGATATCTTGGAATCCTGAGCTAGCAGAGCCTATTCAGGCATCTTGGGCTCTGCTGCTTCCTGCGGGCGCTGTTCACACCTGCTCCAGCAATCCCACTTGGCTACCCCACGCTCCAAGTGTTTCGCAAATATTGCTTAAAATTTCCTTCAGTGAATTGTTTGGCTTATTTACAAATCATTAAGAGCTTTGCAGGAAATCAAGCCTGTCTGTTCTCCCTAAATCACTGAAGAAATGAGCATATATTTTTACATTGATCTGTTCCTTTCCTCTAAGCGTGCAAATTATTTAAGTGCCTGGTGTGCAAGGCAGGAAATAGGGAGGCAGGAGCCGTAAATCAGGTGAAGCTGCTTGTGTATCCCAGCAGTTGACACACGTACAGCTGTTTCCTCTTCCGAGCGTGGGAGGCTGCACGGACAACGCAAGGACTTTGAAAGCAACTCGCTGTAAAACAAGAACAAGTTGCATCAGAGACGGCCTGTTCACAGGCATGGCACACATCTAAATACATTGTCTAGGACAAAGCACAATAGATAGGTCTTGTATTATTATTTAAACTTAAGTGATCTTTGCCTCCTTGGCTCTGCCAAGCTATCTATTATATATCTTACCTATCTTTTATATATATATATATATATATCTTAGATATGACTAATGCTGGGCAGGAAGACATTTCTTCTTACTCATGTAGTCTGTGATATCTCTTCTGATCCAGCAGAGTGCCAAAAAATACAGGAAATTACTTTCACCTTATGAAAATTCATGATTGTAAGGAAGCTCTTAGAGCAGTTGTTCTTTGGAAACTTCTTCCCTGTCCAGAAAAAAGTCTGTCTTTTTTGGTCTATCAGCAATGCGCTGTCAATCTTTTGTGATACAGGGTAGCTCTTTGTAAATGTGCAAGTGTAGGAGTGGGGTGAGGGTCCCTCCTGTCAATTTGGTCACTGCTTGGCCCTGCGCTGTAACAAGCTCATTACCTAGAAATATTAGAAAGCAAAAGGACTTCTTAATTCATCTTTTCTGTGAGATAGCTGCAACTGCAAGGCCAGGGTCCCAAACAGTGAAGACACTTGTGAACTTAACAGATCAACTTCATTCGAAGAAAAGAAATAGAAGTGAAGTAGGATAGGCTTTTGCTAAGGACAGTTCCTTTCCAAAAGGAAAGCTGACATTGTCCTCTACCTGAAAACAATTTTATTATTTTTCAGAAGTGTGTGTAAGCTTTCTTGTATCCACTAATGTAAAACAGCACTTCGTTTGAGTGCAGCAGAAAAGCAACTGTGTTGACAAACTGCTGGACATTTGCACACATACATTCTTCTTTTCAAAGCAACTGCTAAAGGATCTTCTACAACATCAGCAAGTCCACTGAGCCTAGAAGGTAAACTGTTTAGAAGGAGAAGGGCTTCAGAATGTTTGGGGGAGTTCAGTTTTGTTGTTTTGAGCTTTTGGGGCTTTGTTCTGTTTTGGACAAGTTTTGCTTATATTAAGGCTCCAATGACAAGCTGTGATTAGTTGCCGTCTTCCTTTTCCACAGGGTGAATCAGTGAAGTACTTCTTGGATAACCTGGATCGGATTGGTCAGCTGGTAAGACAAAACTTCTTTCTGGAATAGAAGAGCCCAAGGATATAAGACATGAATCAAAACCCTCCCGGTCTAGGTCTCTGTAAGGAAACAAGCAGGAGGAGCAGGAGCAGGAAATGATGTTCCTGAACAGCAACATTGCTGAGTTTCTGAACAACAAATTGCTCTGCAGTGGTGACCAGGCCACTAGCTGCAGTAGCCCACGTTGCTTTACTTACTGCTCGTTGTGATGCAAGCGTGGAACAAGCGTTTTGACTAACGTTTGCACAATATGCTTTGTAAAAATGGTGTCCTTTGTAAAAGAAAAACCTGTAAAAATCTGAAAAATTAATTCTCCAAAACATCATTGGAGGTCTTCAAAACCCTCCTGGATGCCACCCTGTGCCACATGCTCTAGGTGTGCCTGCTTGAGCAGGAAGGTTGGACTAGATGATCTGTAGAGGTCCCTTCCAACCTTAAATATTCTGAAATATTCTGAAATCATGCAGTAATGATTCAGAGATCTGTTTTAACAAACAGTATCTGTATGGTGATAACACAGGTAAGAAATTTCTTGGAATAAAATAAACTTCCAATTGAAAATTGGAAGCTTGGAGAATAAAATGTGAATAATTGTCCTGTATCTTTTTTTCTCATGTCTCACTCTTATGGTAACATTTTACAACTGTATTGAGATAACTGGTTAACAGTCCATTATTATGAAACTGAGTGTTTGTTTGTTCACCTGATATATTTCAAATCCATCATTATTACTAATCATTATTATCCAATTACTAAAGAGTCTTTGATTTTTTTTTATCACTTTGATAATGTGTGGGTTTTTTTTCAAACAATCGGTAGACTTCTGACATTCTTCTTTCTTTTGCAGAATTACTTCCCCAGCAAACAAGATATTTTGCTGGCTAGAAAAGCCACTAAAGGAATAGTAGAGCATGATTTCATCATTAAAAAAATACCCTTCAAGATGGTGGATGTAGGTGGACAGAGATCTCAGCGTCAGAAGTGGTTCCAGTGCTTTGATGGAATAACTTCAATCTTGTTCATGGTCTCCTCCAGTGAATACGATCAGGTCCTTATGGAAGACAGGCGCACAAACAGACTTGTGGAGTCCATGAATATCTTTGAGACAATAGTCAATAACAAGCTTTTCTTTAATGTTTCTATTATCCTATTCCTCAACAAGATGGATCTTCTTGTCGAGAAGGTAAAGACTGTCAGCATTAAGAAGTATTTCTCGGACTTTAAGGGTGACCCTCACAGGCTAGAAGATGTTCAGCGTTACCTGGTGCAGTGCTTTGACAGAAAGAGGAGGAACCGCAGCAAGCCGCTCTTCCATCACTTCACCACTGCCATAGACACTGAAAACATCCGCTTCGTGTTTCACGCCGTGAAGGACACCATCCTTCAAGAGAATCTGAAGGATATTATGTTGCAGTGAAGGAGAGCAGCCCATATTCTGTTAAGATTTGCCAGAGGGTTAGATCAAAGGTTTTATTCTTTCTTTATGGCCCTTGCATGTGGTGGAGGACCCATGCTATTTACTTGGCTCAGGAATGCTGTAAACTAGCCAGTCCAAACAGAGGAGCTATAGGCTGAAGGAGTCAAATGTTGATGTTAGCTACTGAATCATTTGGACTAGAAACACTACTGAAACTGGCCATTGTAGGTGTTCTTTACCTAGTTTGGAATACTGAATAACATAACCACCTTCTGCCTTCTTACATATTTTTTTTTCTCTGAGAAACCATGTAAGGAAGACACTTTGTTTTAAATGAATATGTTTATTCTCAAAGACACTAGTAATACAAACTGCCTTTTTTGTAGTTTGGAGGTGCTGAATTAATCCAACTAATCTAAAACATAACAAGATTGGTAGCTGTATTGGTGAATGTTAACCAAGTTGTGTTCTTATCAACCTTGGGTATGTAACTAGGTCTTGAGTGCATATTCAACTCTGCCAAGGATCTAGGGTCCACTTTTCAAGGTGGATGCACAGCTCTTGTCTGAAGGTTTTGCATGAGTCTCCTGAAGCCAAGGCCTGAGACAGTCTTTATAAAGGAAACCAATACTGGAGGAAATTGGATGGGAAATCTATGATGTGGCTAATATGGAGAAAGGTTTATTTTGCACTATGTGGCAAGGGTATTACACCATGGGGAAACAGATTGCCCTGGTAAAGCAGCCTGTGCCAGAGCATCTGACCATGCATGTGGACAGCAGGTGCTGTAGTGAGATGCACTTCATGCCAGTTCAGCCCTGCTCTCACACCTGGAGCATTTGACAGCATTTGTGAAGGTTTAATCTCTCATGTGACAGGGGTTTATCTGGTTTTAGAAGTAGGAAAGCTGATTAAACTCTGAAGCAGAGGTTTGGGTAGTACGGCAGCTGCTTGACTAGCTCCCGAGAGCCAACCTTATAGGAAGGCTGAACACTCTAGAGGTCCCAGTTTTACAACTGCACTGATGTATTTGGACAGCAGGACCTTGCTGTAAAATTAGCCCTTAATCTGTGTCTTAATGGGATCTTTAGCCTGTATTAATGCACATGTAATTACGAGTACAGTCAAGTTTAGAGTGCCCATTTCAGGCAATGGTTTGTGTGTAAAGTTGCAAGAGGCTACAATTAATGTTGTTATATGAACTGTTAATTTTCTAGCTTTCTCGAACTCGTGTAACTGAGGTGCCTTTCCACGTACAGATAAGTCAGATCTTTTCTATTGCAGTGGGGTACATGGACAAACTTAAGATCTGCCTTTTATCTCAGCATTGTAGTGGTGTGTTTTAGCTAATTTTTAACCGTAGTTTACTGTGCAATTGGTGTCATAGTTTTATCTAAGAATAAAACCTGAAGGGCTATTCATACCCATACAAAGTCAGCAGGTTCCCTGGAGTTCTTATCCCCTTTGAGACTGTAATGGCATGTCAAAACAAGCAACATTTACTTCAGCTGGTAATCCGATGGGAAATGTGGTCTAAAAAAACCCTGCTCCGTTGTCTTTTCATGTTGATTTGGATAAAATCTGAAATCTTTTCTTTTTTCTTCCTCTGAAGTCTGCAGATGTTCAGATTGGTGAATAGTTTCCTTATGTAGCAATCTGGTTTTCTTTTGCTGCGGATTTCGGAGTGAAAAACGCGTGACTGTTTTATAATGCTATGTAAAGCGCATAGTACTGAGGTAATAAGCAAGTTAAAAGTTGCAGACAGGAAAATCAAATTTAAATTTAAGCTTCCATTACTTAGCCAACTTAAATGGGAATTAGCTTCCTTGTAAGAGGTCTTTTTTTAAAAAACCCGATCCAAATTTGTCTTTTTAATATTTATTCATTTTTAACCTTGAAGAGAAAATGTCATGAGAATCACCAATCTTCAGATGGGGAGAAATCTTTAAATTATTACATTTGAAAAGGTAGTGTTTCAGCACTAATTGATGCAAAGAACAGCTTGCTCGTTGTAGAGGGTTCACTGCTCTAAGCTAGCCCATCTGCTCAAGTGGAGACTCCTTTCAACACTTCCAGATATTCTTGGAGTGCTGGTAGTGACCTCCACTTCATACAGACATTTGACTTTATTTCCCAATTCGTTGTGCATTTTGTTGCTTCACTAAATTTCCTGGATTGGCTGATGTGTTTTTCTCAGTTGAGTTAAATATTCCCTTTCAACTATATCTTTCTAGAGAATTACCTCAGTTTTATGTCTGCATCTACTGTAGTTTTACCTGGGAGGCATAGTGTGGAATTTCCTGTTTTGTTTTTCTCTTCATGATCATCCATGATTTTGTATCCTTAGTCACCTTGGAGATTTAAAACTCAGAACAGATCTAATAGTGCGATGTATATTTATCTAACTTAATCTGTTGCACCTGGAAAAGAAATAGCATGAGATAACTCTTATTGAGCTGTCAAGGTTGCTAGTAAGCTTTCTTATACAATAGGGCAATTTTGCACAATTTATCAGAGTTTTAGGGAGCCAGTTTGATGACCTCAGACCCACTATTGCCCTTCTTTCTGGTAATAAAATGGGCCTCAGCACAAAGCTCTAGACCACAGGTGGAAATCAGTAGTTTTGGCTGTATAGAATCTGGTATTTGAAGGCTCTGTTTTCTGCCCAACTTTGGGGTTAGCGGTTCACACCAAGAACGCAAGATGAAGAAAATCTTTTTGCACAGGTTAAGTGCTTCTCAAGTCTGCAACAGATATGACCTGTGGCCATTTGAGGGAGAAGAATTGCTTTTTAAGTGGCAGGTATATTTCTGCTGCTGCTAAATACAGGATCTGCTTCTTGCCACAGCTGAGATTTTGGGTGGTTTTGTTTTTCCAAGGTATGTGGTAGTACAAGAAAGACAGAAATCCATATTATGGAACCCAGTAAATTGCTAACACAGAATTTAATTGGCGTAGGTTGTACAACCGTGTCAGGACAGGCTTGACCCCTTGCTCGGTGCTTTCACAAGAAACAACTGGCGACTTTATTTTAAGTGACATCCTGGAGAACTTTGCAGGTAAACACAGCTGGAGAGAACATCTTTTTTGTTAACTTTATGGGGTTATTGTTCATTTGGCTGGTCAGGAAATGGGTCACAGGCAGGATGATAATCAGATGAAGCCCTTGAGCAACTGCTTTAAAAAAAGCCTTTTTCTGGTCCCACTCTGATACCCGCAGGTCATTGGCGGGGGAGTTTCAAATGTGTTGTCTCTTGCAAGGACAAAGGGAGGAAGTGCTTGCAGCATGTGCATGCAGGAGAGATTGATGCAATCTTGCAACTTGGCAAAAAAACTAACTATTGGGAGTCTTTTACTAAACACTGCTTTGTATTTGATGTCCTGAAAACAGGACTGGAAACTCAGTATAGTGTCAGTACCATTGCTTCAAACTGATGCTGTTGTTTTCTGAACAGGCTAATTTCTAGATGGCATTACCAATGAATTGAAATTAAATTAACAGTTTTCTTTATTTTCAGAAGTAATTTGTATAAATGGCATCTTTAATAGGCAGTTGTCACTTTAAAGCAATTACGTAGTTTCAATGTTGAAGATACTGAAATTATGAAACTGAAATTATTGATCACTCAACTTCACACTGCAGTTCATGAAGAGGTGTTTAATTTGACACTAAATGTCGGTCTTATTTCATCCAGTACAATAACGTAGATTATTTGATTTGCTAATTTTGATAAATGTTTAGGTTTTAAAAGTACTGCATTCAAACCTAGGACTAGACGTGATACCAGCATAAAGGAGCTCCCAAAATGATTTTTTTTTTTGCAGGCTTTCAGAGCTAACTTACACCTGAACTTCAACAAAGCAAACGTAATGCAGAAATTGGTATTAATTGCAAGAAACTGTAGGGAAATAGGTACTAAGATCTCCTCTATACATTGCACTGCAGATAAAGCTTCATTTTAATAGGGTATCTGAAGTAGTTCTGAGTGTGAGAGAGAGTCCAGTTGGAGCAGTTGCCCTACAACTCTCCAGGTATTCAGTAGTTCTGGTTATTGTAATTTGCAGAGAATCCTAGAATCAAAAGTAATCAAAGGAGTAGACATGGAACCACTGAAGGAAGAAGCAGGTTTTTTTAATATCAGACAATTGTCTTCCACTGAAGACATTTTTTTTGCCTTTTTTTGTTTTTAATGTGCCTTCTGCCTTCTTTGGGTGTCTGTCTTTATATTTAGCTCCACATTTTGTCATCTTTTCTATGTATGGACCTTTTCCATTTTGCTAGGAGAGGAGGAAAATCCACTGCAGCAAATTATAGAAAGTCTGTAAAAGGCCCTCTGGTTTTCAGCTGGCGAGTTTTGACCCCCGACGTAGCTTTGTTTATGGCATCAAATTTCCAGCAGGGCTATTTGGTGCCAGCTTGAGACAAAATGAAGATATGCAAGAATACCTCCACACAACGCAGCTTGCCCTATACACTAAAACTTGATCTCTCAATGAAAACTAAACATTGATTCCTGTAGGTTTACTTACTATTAATCTATATATCATTTTTCTAGTATAAAATCATGCAGCATAGGGGATTTCATGTAGCACTGCCAACTCTTTACCTCAGTGTAGTCTTTACTAATTCTGTAACACGGGAAATGGTGGGCAGGATGTTTCAGTAGCAGGTGTAGAACATCTGAATTAAATGATTTTTTAACAGATTTCTGGGGCGTGTCCATTGTAGGACAAGAGTCTTGACTGGCATGTGCCAGACTTGAGCTGAACTAATATTGTCTCCACACGTTTCTAGATGAGGACTATCTAGCTTAGTGAGGAAATACGGGCAAGACAATGCAAGATCCAGTGCTTTTTAATATTGCCTGTTTTGTAATTAGCTGGGGTGATCCCTGCGTTGTGCTGTGAAGTGGACACTTTTCTTAACACTTTTTTTTTTTGCATAGATGGAAATGAGTAAAGCCAGGCTGTTTGGAGCTGAAACTGCTGCTCTGCTAGCCAAGTGATGCTGTCTCTTTGCTCATCTTGGTGGTTGAACAGCTTAGCTTGATTCTTTTATCTTTCTAATGGCATTTGGAAAGCAGTGAAGTTTGTCTGTGTGTTGATATGCTTGTCTTTGTGTTGGGTGGGGAGGAGCATGGAGGTACTAGACTGCCAGTGCTGGTGGTTTGGAGCTTGACATGACACCCTGTATCACAGCCAAGCTCTTGGCACATGTCTGGAGCTCTCCTCTTCTGTCTGATGTGAAGACAATCCCAGTCAGACAAGAAGGAGCAGCAGTGACTTCCAAGATGGGCATTCTGTGCCAAAAACCAAGTATATTGGAAGGGAGCAAGAGAGGGGAGCGATTTTCAAAACACATCCCGAAAGCTGATGGTGCTTGGGGACTGTGTATTGAAATGAAATGCGTTGATCCAGCCGCTTTGACCGACTACAGGAGGACTGTTGGCTGCGTGTCTGTTAACAGCAGCTGGCACTGCTGTTGTTGCACACCCTCCCAGTGTAAATCTCTCTTCGTCTGCCCATAAGTGGGTGCTAAGACTCGATTCCTTCTAAGATAGGGTAGGCAGATCTCTGGCCAGACAATGCATCTTGCTCCGTTCTAACAACTACTTAACCTGTCTTCGAGATATCAGACTGTGAGGAATATTTCAGGGGAATGGCAAGCCAGGAGATGTTTTCATTGTTTAAATGAGAGCTACAATTTGAAGGAAAGCAAAATTCTGGGGGGGTATGTAGGACTTGAGGAAGACCTTCTTATGAAGGAAGTAACTGGTTTTGACCAGCACTGCTTCCCTGCTAACGCTTCCCATAAATCTTCTATGCTAAACCTGTGTGCAGGTGGTTTGACCCAAAAGCTGAGGGAAGATAGCAGGGAGAGAGGGGGGATGTGGAAGACAAATGACCTTTTGGTAGTTCACAAGGCTTGGCAAGTGTGCAGGGTAGACTTGGGGTTGACAACTTGTGCTCAGACTTCCATTCACCTTGGAGCCATTACAGTCTGCAGGACAAAAAGTGGTTTTTTTTTTTTTTTCTAGTGAACTTATTACATTATCTGGAACGTGTACTGAGCTTGAAGTGATGCTACGCATTAAGCAGTATTTCTGGGGACTCCACGTAACAAAATGGCTAGTATTTATTGCTCTTGTGATGAGTTGTCTTGTTTATGGAATCAATAGGTATGAAAGCAAATTGAGAAAACACTAAGTTATCTTGTGACGCAATCGTGTAGGTAGGAAGCCGACTGAAATGTTATCCTTTATTCCGCAGTTTACTCGCTCTGTGGTGCCTATGCATTCTAACACACATACTATGCAATATCATTCTTTTTTAAACCAGTTCACTACATTGGGCAGGAAAGGCCTGAGTTTAGCCTTAATTTTCTAAAAATTCACAGAAAAAAATACTTTAAAAATAACAAAATACAAAAAAAAAGACAAAAGGAGGTAAAAAATGCATAAAATAAAAGCACAGTTTTAGACTGCTCACATAAGTGTCTTTCTAGCACCAAAACAGCATCCACAATAGAAGCAGCTACTTGCTGTGATAGTTTCAATTTATGAAAACTGTGTACTAGATAAAATTATATTGTGATGTGTAAAAAGTGTATTTTATAGCTTTGGTGACTTAGTTTACTGTTTTGTATATATGAATTTTATAAATCTATTAAAACATGACTTGTTATACTGTTCTTTATGGGTTATATGTTTCAACAGAGTCTAGAGTGACTTTTTTTTTTGCTTTGTTCCAACACTTTCTGCAAAAACTGCTTATTGAATGAATAAGCATGGACCGCGTGAAACTACAGCTCTTATGCAATAAAATCTTGTTCTGTAATGTTCATAATCTCCTTCCTCTCCAGTTTTGGTTGAATTGTTCTTCCCAAACATGTCCAAGAATTGATAGCATGTCAGACATCACCCTGTGTAGAACTTACCCCTTGCTCAATTGTGACATTTCACTAGGGTTTAGGCTTTCAAAATGATGGGGAGTGGAAGGGAAAATGCAACTAGAGGGTTTTGTGCATTGTCCTGAAAGCTTCAGATGGGGAAACGAGAAAGCCTGTTCAGCTTTAGACTGATGTATCTGCTGCTAGGTAGGGTTTGATAATAGGCCTGAACTGCATTTGTTTCTTTCTTGGTGCCCTGTCCCTCTGCCAGACTTCCTAATGTGTGACCCTTTGGAGAGTCTCCAGCAGCCATCTCTTTCTGTACCAGCATCCTGACATAATCCAGGCCTGCCAGGATTTGAGCCCCGATCCTTAGGAATGCCTCTAACCTTTCCTCGCTTGTGCTGTGAAAGGTCAGCGCTGGCAGAGTTTTATTGCAGATCTTAGAGCTGTTTCTTGTGAAGCTGCTAATGCACAGTTATATTGGCAGGTGCACAATCCGAACTACTTCTTAGAGCATTGCTCGTCTTTTTTACCAAACTCTGGAAAAGTTCTCAGCTACATCTTGCATTTGGGAATGATGCTTTTTTCCCAAGAGGTGCTGAGTGCTTTCATGTTGTCACTATTCGACTTCTCACGAAGTATGGTCAGCTCAGGTTTTATTTTTCCTCAGGTGTGAATGAACGACAGCAGCTCCAGGTGCTGCTAGGAAGCTTTTTGGATCTTGGTTTGTTTTAATCAAGTTTCTCTGCTGTTCAAGCTGCTCAGTCTCCAGAGCTTTACCCAAAATAAGACATGTGTAGTCTGTTTTGGACAAACAGAGCTAGTAAGTAAGGTTTCTGTCAGTGATTGCATCAAAAATAGGTACTAATAGTAAGCAACGGCTCTTCCCCCAAATCCCTGCTTTCCCAGAAGAGTTATGAATGTCGTGTAAGGAATTTCCCCTTTTTCTGTGGCGTTCCTGGACTACTTTGCTATGGTAGGAAGCTGCCTGTCTCCCTCTCTAACCCTCTGGCAGCGCCGTCACCCTGCAAAAAGAGCATCTGCTGGGAAAGTTTCTGAAGTTTGGCCTAGGGAGTTGCTACAGAATGAAGTTGGAGCAAGCAAGGTTAACCAAACAAGGTAAGTCCTTGCTTAAAATGGTGAATCTGTGAGAGCAACAGGAGAGCAAGCACAGGGCTGTATGTGACTTTGTGATTGAAGCGGTGTCAGTTTGGGACTTGCTGCTGCTCCCAAAGCCTCTGGGATGAGCTGCAGAGCCAGCACCTCGGAGACAGCCAGGAGGCGGCAGCAGCGGCTCCGGCTGCAGCCCGGAAAAAAACGCGTTTCCAGGAATTGCCTTCATCCGTCCCAACGGCAGAGCTCCCTTTCTCTCCCTGTGTGAATCATGCTGATGGGAATCTGCTTTTCCTTGGAGTCAATTTATTAACAGGGATTGAGTCGATTAGCACTGAATGTTTGTTTTGTTCACCTGGAAAGTTCATGCCAAGCTTTCCTGGAGTGTTTTCCCCTTGCAGAAACACATTGCAGGGCTACTGGGGCCCTCTGAGCCGGCGGCTGCCCTGAAGGACACGTCCCCTCTCCCCCCCGAGCCAGGCTGACTTCATCTCTCCCTGCTCGTCCTGCTTTGTGGCTGATAAATCAGAGGTATTTTTAAATGTGCAAAACCTGAAGCTCGGACACAGGGTCACAAGTGTCCCAGGGGATGGGGGACCGGGAAGGGAGAGGGTCAGTCTTCCTCAGAGCCAAAAACCCACCAGCCGCTTGAGCTCTGGCTGTGCGTAACCTCCAGGGCAGGGAGAGGGGATCCAGGCCCGGGTCCCTCCGCAGTTCACGGTGAGCGAGTTGTGTTCTCGGAGATTTCTCTCTCCGGTGCCAGTCTGCAGAGGAAGGGAGTAGTCACCGCTCATGGCCCGGGCCTGGATGGGTTTGAAGGGAGCAGCTCCGGAGCAGCCCTGGTGCGGCCGCCAAGGCCGCCCTCACCTGGCGCTGTTCAGGGCAGCGCGGCGGCCAGGGAGCCTCCCGCTTCGCTGCCTCTGCCCTGTCCTCTGCCTCCAAGCACCAGCCTGGCAGCAACAGTAGGCAGATGGGGAAGAGACCTGGATCACAAGGAAGATGTGGGCAAAGGACAACTTTCCTCCTGCCTCGTCCTATCTCCAGCATTCCTTCCCTCCCTCTGGCTTAACTTGGGAGTTAAGCTCCTGTGGATGTCTTGGGCTGAGCACAGTCCCTTCCGCCACTGCCTTCGGACAAAGCAAGACTTGGCCTCCAGATGCAAGTGCCTACACAGACCTTGGCATGGCTTGGATGGGCACTGCAGTCTTCAGCCAGCACAGGAAAAGCCCTTGGAGAACAACAGATCACATCAAAAACATGACTTAGGAATCTCAAAAAAAGAAACACATTTTATTCCTGGGGGGAGCTCCTTTCTCTCTTTGATAGCAACAACTCGTGCTGAGAAAGATGAGGAGCAAAACAAAAAGGTAACCAAAGCTGCGTGAGCCCAACCTGAGGCAGAGCCACACTAGTTTTCCTCCCACCTCCAGCGATGCGGGGACGATTCCCCTTTGGCCAGTTTTCTTGAGCTGAGTTTCCTCCGCAGGGAGGAAAATTTGTCTCCGAGAACTTTCCGCAGCCCCGCGTGGTCCCTGGCGAAGGGCAGATCCTTCCTCACGGCGGGCAGCTGCCCCGTGAACATCTCCCACCTGGCCAGCGCGTCCACGGCCTGGTCCACGCGCGCCAGCTCTTCCTCGGAGACGTTCCTCTCGAGGGCGGCGATGGAGGCCTCCAGCCACAGCTCGTACTCCCTGACGGCGTCGGCAGGCCGGGCGGCGAGCGGGGCCGGGCCGCGCGCCTCGCCCGGCGAGCAGGGCTGCTCGTCCGCCTCCAGCTCCGGCGCCACCGACAGGGCCTGGCTGCACGCGTCCGGCGTCAGCGGCTCCGACAGCGAGGTCACGGCCTCCGAGTCGTGCTCGCAGCACAGGCCCGAGTCCGAGCTGAGCGGCAGGGGGTCCTCGGAGGCCGACAGCTCGGCCGGGCCATGCCGCGGCCAGCCCGACAGCACCGTCTGCGTCCACGCGTACAGCTTCTGTAACGAGAGAAGCGGTTCCCGGTTGGGGAACGGCGGGCGACAGCTTCGCCTTTCCCAAGGCTTCTCGGATGAGCCTCGTCATTCCGGTGCCTCGCTTGGAAGTGCCACGTTCCTGGCTGGGAGAAGCGGGGTTACCCTTTAAAACTGGGGCTTTTTGCTCCCTCCTTTCCTTGGAGCCCCTATCCAAGCATCGAGCTCCTCGGAGCTCCCATCGGAGTCTGGAGCATCCGAGCGAGCCCTGGGCTGTGTCCGCCCCATCACAGGGAGGCAGGAGAGAAACGGCGCTGACCCCCTCCCCTGCATCCACGATTCCCGGCAGCCGAGCTGCTCGGCAGGGAACCGGGTCTGTTCTGAGGCTCCCGAGATAAACTGGACGGTCTCCTCTCATCGCGTTACCACCTCGGCGGCAGCGCGCGCCTCGTTGCAAAGAGCAGTTCGCTGCCTTGGGAGCTGAAACGCACCACAGGGACGGCTGGGCTCCAGGAAAGAGCTAATGAAAGGAAAATGTCTGAGACAATTTCCTTTCTAAATATTAAACGCTACAATGGGGCATACAAGGAGCTGCTTCTGGTGCGTGTATTCCTTAAGCCTTGGGGAATGAATCACATTGCTCCAGTCATCACCGGATAAAAGGTGATCTCTCTGTCTGGCTTGTTAGTGTGTGCTTTTCTTGCACGTATGTGTGTGTTTTTCAGCTTTTTTTCACACCCTTGTGGCCTATTTCTGTATTTTCTTTTCTCAGCTCCCAGCTGATGCCCTTATGCAGCCCTGCAATTGCTATGAGAAACACGGTGGTGGCACTTAAGGGATATGAGGCTGAGATGTCCCCCCATCCTGGGCAAGACGATGGCACCGAGTCCCTCAGCCCTGTGGAGCTCCCTTGTCCCCCAGCTTCCCGCTTCCCCCTTCCTCGTCCTCCCCCCTTGCTCCCTGTCAGGCTTTCCCTGACAGAAAAGATAAAGAGCTCAAATTGAGGGGGTGGGAGCAGTCGTCCCCCTTTCTCATTTCAGTCTGGGCACGGAGCCTCGGGGGAGAATTTCATACAGGAATAAAATGGCCTCTTTCAGACAAGTTAAGCCACCCTGCCCCCTCCCTCTGGGGCAAGAACAAATGCAAAGGAACAACTTCCCTCCTGCCTGGTCCTACCTCCAGCTCCCTTCCCTCCCCCCGGGAACAAAGAGGGTGCCAGACCCTGCAATGGGAGCTGCACTAGGGAAAGGGGCAGAGATGCCTTTGAAAGCTGGAACCAGCCCAGAATGTTTCAATATCTCTTAAAATTCCCAAGACAAGTGAATTTGGGGAAGAATGGTGACTGTTAGGAAGCCCGTTTCCTAAGAAGAGAAAAAGCTGCTGAGATGAGGATGGATTATTTAGGTCAAAAGCAGGGGATGATTAGCTCAAAATCACTACAAAAAGACTGAAAATTTTCCCTGTCTCTCAGTCTCTGGGTAGCTTGTTTGAGTCAAAGATCTGAATGCTTTTTAAGGCTGTAGCCTCTGTTCTTGTGCTTAACCAGAAAGTGAGAACCTCTTTGCACTTTTTCATTCAGGAGCATTTTAGATGGATGCCCACACCAAGCAAATCACTAGGAATGAAACCTGTTGCCTGACACTTCGCAGGGCTCCAGTTTGAGCCCATCAGCAGCACCAGCTTCTCTCAGTGCAGCCAATGTACAAAGTGCCGGAGGACCCTATATAATATGTTGAGATCCTTCCTTATGTTGTTAAACAAAGGAACTGCAGCAAAGAGCCCACCTAATATTTTCTCTGTGCTCCCAACAGCCCCAGAGAGGCAGAGAACGTTGTTGACACACAGGCAAGGGCATGGAGGTGGCAAACTCCACTTCCAACTGCCGCTCCGTCTGCACTTGCTCTACCTGAGACCTGCCCACCCTTCCTGACCTTCTTTTCCGGAGGCATAAAACAGGGTAGGACTTTTGCACTGTGTCTTGTGAACATTGCAGCTATAGAGGTGGTGTAAAGAGCTAGGAGACAGTCACAGGGACTGTTCAAAATACCCCTATTTAGGCATCATTTTTGCTCCCCGTTTCCCCCGCTGCTCCAGGACAAGCTGCTGGGTCCGTTTCTCACCCTGTAGCGCTCGACGAGCTTGAAGCCCACGACGTGCTGCAGCTTGCGGAGGCAGATGGGACAGGGCTCCAGGGGCCGCAGCAGGGCCTCGTCGAGGCTCAGCGCGCCCTGCATGATGCACTGCAGCCAGCGGCAGGTCCCCAGCCCCATCAGGTGGCAGATCTCGTGGCACGTCACCTTGCGGGAAAGCAAAGATCGCAGCAACACGTGGTCACTCAAGCCTCCTGCTCTCACCACCTCTGCTCCATGGGGCAGAGATGGGTTTTACCCAGGCCTGGGTGAAATACACATTCTTGCACTGCAAGAAATGCAGGGTGAGGGACGTTGCTCATCCTACCTTGCAGCACTGGACCATCTCGAGGGCGCTGAACGGCACCGTCCGCTCTCTGCTTTCCCTGCTGGCTTCGCACGGACCTTCCTTCTGCACCAGGGGAGTCCAGTTGCTGCAGCCAGATGGGGGGAAATCCCCCGAAAATCTGGCAAAGCTGCAAACTCCCACTTCTGTAACAAGAGGCACACACAGGTGAGGCGCTGGCGCTCCTGCGCCTGCCTCTCACCTTAGGAGCAGGAAAGGAAAGCTGCTGTGCTGCAATTTTAGCATGCTGCAAGCGTCAGGATGTACCTCCCCAAGGGTTGCTAGTGCATCAGGTTCCTTTGCTTAAAACAGGAGTCTCAGCCCTGTCTCTCCTATTTTTAAATTGCAAGAAAACTAGAAAAACAAAAATACACGGTTCCTCTTATCAAGAAGCTGAATGAAATTTTGAGAATAAGATGTGCCTTTTCTAGTCTCCCAGGGAAGGTTTTTGGGTATAATTTGTTTGTTGCTTTTTTGTATGTTTTGTTGTTGTTGTTGTTTTATTTTTTATCCTGTGCTAGGAGATCATCAGATGCAAATCCCACCTTGTCCGGGCAGGAATTTGCTGAATGTGAAGCTCCAGGTCTCACAGGGGTAAAGGTCCAGCAGTGTGAGTCCCAGGACACACAGGGCATCCATGGGCTTGTTGTTCTTCAGGAAATTCAGGATCCCATCTGGTCAAATACAAGAGAGATGTCCATTAATGTGAAGGTGTGAGGGAGCCAGAATTCCTCCTGCTAACAGAAAGGAGCCTGTAATCCAAGGCACACATTGACAGAGCTGCTGGACTCAGTATCTCCAAAGGAAGATCTAATGGCCTTTTCTGTCATATTCCGTTGAGGAGATGTTGAACACTTTGTAAAACCAAATTAAAACTAAGGATAAATTCCTGTTTTGGCATGGGATGAATTCAGCACTAATCTGTGGAAATAAGTGCCTGGAACTCTAGGAATTTCCCTATGGGCATCCCATTGCTGCAGCCGTGGTCAGTGCTGAGCACAGGCTGCCCCGGTACCTGGAAACCGCTTGTTCCAAAGGGATGTTTGTCAGCCGGGAAACCCATCATCTCTCTGGGGATGTGGGTGACACCTGAACTCTGATTTCCTAACATGAAAGGCCAGCGCAGTCCTGCACCACCCCGGCCACTGACTTGCTTTGGCTTTGGACAAGTTGGGTGTGCGGGCAATCCGCAGCGCTTCCCCTTGGAGCCCGTTTAACCACCGTGCAGGGCAGGATCTAAACACTGCGACGCCGATAAGAGCAGGCAGCAGAGGAAAACGTGACGAAACCCGCTTTGCTTTCCATTCTTGTTTCCGGGCTCAGAGTGATGGGTTTTCCACAGCAGCAGGATTTCTCCCTTCCTCCCCACTCTGGGATTTTCTGGGCTTTTCCGAGGGCTCTGCCGGCCTTACCTGCGTGCAGCTGCACTCGGTCCGAGTCCCGGCAGTGGCGGTAGCAGCAGTGGATGGAGGAGACGGGGATGGAGGGAAGGCACTTGACGCGGAGGCCCAGGAAGAAGGACTCGACGCAGCTTTGCAGGGAGTCGAGCAGCGAGAGCCCCGCGGGCCCTTCGGTTAAGTCTGCGGGGAGAAGCTGCACGGATCAGCGCCTCGAAGCCCAGGGGACCCCGAGCTCTGCAGGGGCGTCCCCAGGGCTGCTGCAGCGAGAGGGTGGCTCGCTCAGCAGCAAGGGGCTTGCTACGGGATGTTGTGGGCATCTGGAGGTGGTTATAGAGAGACTGAAGGAAAAGAGGGGGCTCCTGCAGAGATGATACACCTCGTAACAGAGCAGGTGCTCCAGGAAGGTTTTCTCTGAGACAGAAGCTGTGCAGAAAGATTAACCTGTGGGCTGGGTGGGGTGGAATGTTAATTTGCATGAACTGCCAGGGATACTGGCAGGATAAATGGGGTTTAAAATTAAGAGGAGTCCCAGAATTGTTGTTTTATCCAGCATTATTTTACTTATATAAATATATATGCATATATTTATACACATATATATGTATGTGTATTCATAGCGTGTCTTACCCAAAGGCACACATGGCATTCACGGCATTTGCAGGAGATGTTTACTGACAGTTGTCATCCTAGCTTGGGACTCTGGCCTGGAGGCACGTCAGAGCCTTGGATATTACAAACTCATCTTTATGGCAGCAGTTTCCTTTCCTACGTTAGCCCTTACAAGAGGCCAATGGGCATTAGTGTGCCCAGCACCACCCACCTCCCTCCCTGCCTTTCTGTGTAGCTCAGTCAAGACACCATGTTCTCCTGGCCCACGTTACCTATCGGCTGCAAGTAAATGTGCTTGCGATAGAAATTCTGCTTCCTCCTCAGCATGGAGTGGTAGAAGGTTTCGAAGTCTTCGGGGGCATCGGGATGGCTGAGGAGCCAGTCGAAGGCCGTCCTGATGAGCAGCGAGCAGAAGAGCGTTCGCTGGGGGTTGTAGGCTTCGGAGAGGAAGAGCTTCTCGGCGCTGGAGAAGGCTTTGACATAGAGCTCCTGCAGGGCTGGGTTGGTGGAGATGAGAGCATCCTTCAGAGCGCGGGGCCCGAAGCTGAATTCCTGAGCGTGTTTGCACTGCAGCATCTTGGAGGCTCCCACTGGCTGCGGCACTGCCTGGAGGGATGGACGCAGCCGTCAGCGTGTGGCCTTGTGAAAAGCTTTTGCTTTTGTCCCGAGGTCCCAACCACCAGTTTAGACAGGGTACTTGGAGCTGGCCAGGAGCCCTGTGCTCTTCTGTGACAAAGCTGCTGCAGGGTGCTCCGTATCGGCACGTACGTCTCTGGTTTATGGGCAACGTACCAGTAGATGGTGCTCAAGAATGTGTAGCCCCATTATTGCTACCAGACGTCTAGCTTAAATCATCTGGGTTTTTTGTTTGTTTGTTTTCGTTCTGGTGACCCATCCCAAAGTCCCAATAACATGGCAAATGCCCCCGTGTATTTGCAGACATCAGGCTGCAAATGTGTCGTTGGGAAGTGATGCTCCTTTCTGCTTCAGCTAAAACTCACCAGTGCTGCAGCTCTCAAAGGCACAGAAATCCAGGACAGGATGAAAGGGGGAGACCTTGGCCCTTACTTTGGGCAGCTCATCCGGCAGCCCAAACCCTAGACTTCTGAATGATGCAAAAGCAAAAGCAGCTTTGCTCTGTTGACAATTCCCTCTAGCTACTTTTAATCCTCCCCCCTAGCTGCTGACCTGGCTCGTCAGGCTGTGCCATGTGGCCACTCCGTGTGCAGGTGGGACGCGACACGAGTGGCTTGTGCTTGACCGCTGTTCTTCCCTAGCTACTTGCTTATGGTTCCACTGCCCTCGTGTCACCTCATAAGCAACTTGGTGTCACACTGCGTTGGCATCAAGAGAGCTGGTGATGATGCTAAGTGGTAAATAAAGGGCAAATAAAAGCCCGGAGCAAAAAGAAATAAATTCATAGCATTTTGGAAATATCCTTTCCAGGGTGCTCTCCGGTGTTTTCCAAGGAGATGCAGAGGTCAGGCACCTGACCTCAAATGCCACTGGGATCCCAGTGGATATCCTGGAGAGAGCAGAGAAAGAGAGGAAAAGAAGTGCTACCTCTCTGGCTACTGTATGTGAGGATTTTGCAGAGACTTTTTTTTTCTTTTTTTCCTTTTTTTTTTTTTTGCAAGGAGACCAACCAAGTAGAACTAGAGTGTTCTGCAACATCACCCTGGGCAGAGCCACCAGCATTTGGAGTCGTGGCCTTGAAGACTGTGCAAGCAGAGCCCTGACTCCACGGCGCAGGCAAGCCTGCTACCAGAGGATGACTGACCAGGGTATGGATATTGCACACACGGGCACTGTGTGACAGTGAATCCAAGGCGTTCTGGAGCATCATACTTATTGCACATGTTTCCATCTAAGAAATCCATGACCAGGATGCGAGTCACAGACAGCAGAATGGGAGTACTCGTGTACACACACAAGCACTGGGTTAATCTATTAGGCAAGTTAAGCCTGCTTTAAAAGAAACCAGACAAGTCTTCCAGGGTGCATAAGAAAATTTGGAAGCTGCTGACCATCACTATTCAAGCATAGGAAAAAAACAAAAAAGAAGAAAAGAAGAGAAAAAAAAAGAGGTGAAATATTTTTAGAAAGAACAGGGTATGTCTATAATTTAAGTAGCTCTGCAGCCAGTGTCTTTCACTGGCTCTTGGGAACAGTGATATAACGATGAACTCAGTGTTTAAAAAACAGTACCAAAGGGATCCACATTCTTTCCTCAGTTACTCAGAGATAGCTTTGGCAGTTTGTGCCAAAAGAGAAAGATGGCAGCCTACTAAAATTAATATTTAATTTCTTTACATCTATCCAAGTAGCCCTTGGGAAAATACTTGTGTGCATGAACAGACCTTAAAAAAATCCTCATTCTGATGCTATTTTTTGACACTGTTAGGTAGCAAAGGCGAAGGAACGGGTAAACAGTTTCCCTTTATTCCTGCAAGCTTTGTGTTTTGCTAGCATTAATGCCCAACTGCAGACAGCACAGGGGGACCTGAAGTGGTACTGAGTGCCTAACCTAAGAGCAACTTTAAAGTAAGACCTAAGATGCTTTCTCAGCCACCTCTTCATGCTGTGAAATTGCTTCTGTCATTTTTTTGTAAGTTCAGGTGAGGTTGTTTTCAACTTTGTTACCCAAATTTCTGCAGCTCTGACTTAGTTCTACACTCAGGAAGGTAAAATGAGATTCATGGCCCCCCAAGTCATCAGGAGTTTGGCTGTGGCCTTTAGTAGGTCAAGATTTCACTTATTCTTATCTAGCATAGAACTTATCTATGAGAAGAACTTATCTATAAGCAGAACTTATCTATAGAAACTACTAGCTGTATTAAAATCACTGAGGGTGAGATCTGGCTGTTCCAATGAGATTCTTTGTAGATACAGGCAGGGCTTTGCAGAACCGTCCTAGGAAGGTCTCCGTGATGGTCCAAGTTGAGACCGCTTTTGCCAAAGAAGGTTTCTGAGAGGCACAAGCTGCTTTTACCAGCATTTCCTGGTAAGCAAATGTAGTGGGGTGTGCAGGAGTGGGGCTTGCTTGAATAGATGTTGCAAAATGAATAGATTTTTCTCTTCTAAGTGGGAAGCAGTGAGGAGGGGGTGTCTGCAGCAGCAGCGAGTACAATGAGCGCACAGTCTCTTGGCATATGTTCCCCCGGGCTCTCTCAAGGCATATAGTGTGTACCCAAAGCTGTGGGCTACACGTTGTTTCCCAAGACTTCCTAAAAGGGAACATTCACCCCGTACTGGCTTTCCCCATCTATGATCACAGGCGTCCTGGGAACATCCACCAAGCCCCAAGACGTCCATGCTCAGTCGGTGGAAACCTCAAGCAAAGGAATTCCCTTGCAGTGCCTGGTCTGCAGTTATCTCCCTCTCCTGGGCTCCCTGTTTTTCTTCCAACAGAACAGCAATGACCCATCACATTCACTGAACCCAACATAATTATTTTTATTTAAGAACATTTCCTAAAATACTTCACTAGAGAAAACTAATGTTTCGGAAAATTTTTATGGATCCTGCCAGCAGTTTAAAACGGAAACCGTTTTACAACATTAACTGTAGTAGATGCTATTTGCACCTGATCTAATATATGGATATACTGTGTCATTAAGTGAAGTGCTGCAAAAGGGCTTTGTGATGCTCAGCCTGCGTGTCGAGGATGCAGCACGCTCGGCTGCGGCGCCTCATCAAGGAACGACACCGCAGCTTGCACAGGCTCTTGATTGAAAATCCCAGGGTGGTGATGCTGAAGGGAAAGCACCCAGGGCTCCTTGTGCCCCTCAGGTATCCAGGAAGGAGGGATTGCAAGGCAGGAAAGAAAATAAAGGTGCAAGAGGGGAATACAGAAGTAAAAATAAAATATACATCTATTGTAGTTATATATATATATATATATATATATATGAATATTTAGTTTTCAGGCCATTTTGCTTAAAGACAAACAATGGATTTTTATCCCGAGTCTTGCAGAGGAGAAATGTCACCTCAGGGTCCCTGCAGAGCATTGGCAGGGCCACCCGGAGCTGGGAATCCCAAAAGGATCTCCATGAAAGGGAAGTCCCACAAAGGAATTAAGCTGGACACTTTTCTGCCTGTCTGGCATGCCAGGGTGCACGTGCTGCACCAGCCCTGACCCAAAAGAGGTATTTTTTCCAGGCTCAGCACCTCTCAGCTGAGCAGTCGCTCTATTCCCGCTGTTCCAGTAACCTGTAAAGGATTTTATACACAACTCAAGTTACTCATAAATAATTCTCTTTGCAAATCAGGCACCTATAAATTATTCTCTGTAATTGAAAGTCATCCATGAATTATTCTTTTTGTAATTCACAGATTTGTCATTTATTCTCCAGTATGTTGACACTGCTTGCTGGCAGTGTGCGGCATGCAGAAGCCAAGGCAATGTCATACAGTATCATGCAAGTTCACTGCAATATTCTGCTGTGAGAGAAACAGTCCTTGGTGAACAGAGCCCATATGGTGCTGATCCAGGAAAGAACATGCAGTGCATAACAGCTTTATCTGGATTTGATAGAGTCTGGCCCTAACACTGGGTCGTATATATGTAGTTTTAAGCTGATTGTTCCAAAGTTGTCTATTTTATAAGTCAGCTTGTAAGCCATTTCTCCCTCTGTCTCTTATACACACTGCAGAATGCAGGGGCATGGAAGGAGGGTTAACTCAGCCTTTTTTCCCCTCTCAATTGTTACGAAGTATTTAGAGACTGATTCATTTTACTGGACTCTTTGGATGTGTGAAGGACATCAGCCAAGTCTGTTAAAATTGAATAATTGCTTAAATTAGGCACTGTACTGTAAATAAGTGGTGATAGTGCAGAAAATTCATAGCTCGTCAACCTAAATGAAAAGCCCAGAGCAAACATAACAAGCATCAGCTAATTATCAATAAATGCCCTGGTTGCTAAATAGCTCCTTCCCTGAGATTTGTGTTATCTGCTACTGCTACTTTTAGATCACTCTCTCCTTCCTTGTTTAACTCACGTGACAGCCTGAAAGCAGTTTTCCCTATTTGTTGACCTATATGAAAAAAGATTTTTCCTGACCAACAAGATCATTCAATGAACACTCAGAATAGGTAAGAAAGTCCAGTGGAATGGGAGAAAAGGAGGATGCTCAGACATGGGAGCATTTAACCCTGGTGCAAATTAAATGCTCATTACTGAAGCTCCTTCCTCAAGGACCTAAGCGCAGTTGTTTGCGCAGACGGAAGCTTTGCATTAACTTTGCATTAAGAGACTTTGCATTAAATGGCCATGAAGTCATGAATCAGATCTTCGTGTGTTCCAGACCATAAAATTAGACAAGATCTTTCTGGCCTCAGGTACTGCTAGATCCCAGTAATATATATGTGTAATGTCTCCAGATTATGTATGTGACACTGAAACAGATGCTTTGTGTGGTCTCTTTGGGAATGAGTCATTCCTGGAGCTGTGGAAGCCTCCAGGGATTCACACATGCATTTACCTGGAATAGCATCTACCTGTGATATCTTACTATCCTTAAGGCTCAGTCCTGCAAGTTCACCCTCACATGGATTTTATGATACATTTA